ATCCTACCCCTAATCCCTATCCTACCCATAACTCTACCCCTACCTCTAGTAGAGGTAGAGGTAGAGTGCCAAACCAAATTGCCGAAGTGCCAAATTTTGGAAGTGCCGAAGTGCTTCAGATTTCTGAAAAGTGGCAAAACAGAATCTAACCCTACCCCTAACTCTACCCCTAATCCTACCCCTAACCCTACCCCAAATCCCTACCTCTACCCCTAACGCTACCCCTACCTCTACCCCTAACCCTACCCCTGACCCCTACCCCTTACCATACCCTTACGTGGTTGGCCATCCTACGTGGTTGGTTTTAAGCACTATCAAAGCCATTTGTGGGGATTGAGATGCTTTACCTCCTTTAAATATAACAGCAACATTTTGTGATATATGACCACGATCCTACTTTATATGTTACTTTGCTGATTCTCAATGTCTTTGTTTTCCTATTTCATCTGTGTCTGATTTATGTGAAAATAAAGATTGTCAGAAATAATATTTTTGGAAAAACTCTTAAAATGATTTAATATTATGAAATAATTTTTTGTAAAAGTGACAAGGTAATACCGGACCAGAGGTATTAAAGTTATGATATTCATGAATGGGTAAAAGATAATGACAAGGCTGGTGTAAAGAAGATTGAAAAATTATGACTTTTGATGAATGCATGAGAGATGAGAATGCTGGTAAAAAAAAAGACATACGAATAAAAAAAACAGGATATCACAGGAGCTGGGATAACAGGAATAATAAAATGTGAGAGAAGATAACACCAGGGTAAAGCTGAGAGAAGATGACACAAGGAACAAAAAAGGATATACAAATGTAAGTATGCAATAGCTCCTCCAGACACCTTAGATCATGGGCCCTTAAACTCCGGCCCCTCAGATGTTGCTGAACTACAACTCCCATGATTCTCTGGCTATCTATGTTATTCAATTAATCATGGGAGTTGTAGTTCAGCTACATCTGGAGGCTGGAGTTTGAGGACCCATGCCTTAGATCATCAACAGCTGCATCCACTAGGCAGAAGCCATTCAAGAAGACAACAAGGGCAGTTTGACCCATATTGGTGAAGGGTGGGCCTCTGTGGAAGCCCTTGCCCATACACTTCGAAACTACCAAATACCATTCTTCTTAATGTAACAAATAGGCTCAGCTATAGCTTTATTGGTAGGCCTCCAAGAACCTCTCATCCTAGCCATACCCTCTACTTCATTTGCACAGCGACATTATCACAATCATATTTCCCCATTTTATACCTACCAGCCACACTGCTGCCCTTTCACAAATCCTCCTTTTATTTCTCTAATTCCCTTCCCCCATCTCTTTCAGATTATTACAACATATCTCAATGAGTACATTTCTCTGCCTTCCCCAGATCATCTCCCAAATTCACTTGCCAGGACAAGTCCCCAACCATATCCCTCCCCAGTAGAGCTCCTTTCAGCTGTGGGGTTTATTCACTAAACTTTGAGATGTATAAAAATTAAGAATTATCTCAGGGGTCTCTCCCATTAATACTGACAATGTTCTACATCTATCTATCTATCTATCTATCTATCTATCTATCTATCTATCTATCATCTATCTATCTATCTAGCTAGCTATATATCTGTCTATCTATCTATCTATCTATCTATCTATCTATCTATCTATCTATCTATCTAGCTAGCTATATATCTGTCTATCTATCTATCTATCTATCATCTATCTATCTATCTATCTATCTATCTTCTTAACTGTCCTTTTATATAAGTATCATTTGCAAAAATGAACAAAAAAACTTCACATTTATAAAAAACACACATCCTGATTATATATATAGACTTTGAGATAAACAAATTTCTTCAAAGAACATTCTGTGAATCTGCAAATTATAAGTTCATATAACCACAAGTTCACCTACCAAAAAAGTTATCAAATGAAAACAAGTGCAGAATTATGACCAAGACAGAAAAAATACAAAAATAAAGATAAAGATAACCTTTAAAAATAACTTTATTGGATTATAATTAAGCACACAACGAGTGACTAAAGTTAACGTACACACATATACCACACTCTTATCAAACCCAAAATGTTACCGTAAGGATAGTTTAAAATTTGCTGTATATCCCATATGTATTATTATTATTAGAGATAGTGGCTCAAACAGAAGATATCAGAGATTGAAGTTGGTATTTCACAAAGTTGCAGAATGTGACCAATTGAAAGTATCTGTATTCGTATCACAAAGCGAGGATAAACCTGGCATTTAAAGCGTTACTCCAACCACCATGAGCACTTCAACTTTTAGAAGCGTTCCATGGTGTTAGCAATCTGTATGTTTAGCCTTCCTGCTTAAAACTCTGCCCATATCGAACTTTGGTGACAGACATAGTGATCTTCTCCCTATTTAATAAAGTATCTATATCCATTAACCATAGGTGGGTCAGGGGGGACAGTAGGAGGTCCCCCCATTTTTAAATTTAAATGCTCCCACCTACTGGCAACAACTGGTGTAAAGGAGGGGGAGTTAGATGTGGACAGTGATCAGTCCATCCCCATTATTTCATTTAACAACCCCCAACGAATGCCCACAGGTGGAGGCATAGGGGAACAAGGTTTACAGGCCCTAGTTTTTATTGTTTAGTAGATATGCCCCCACCTGCCGCATTGCATGTGGGGCATGAGAGAGGTTTAAACCTCCCTTATCCTAATACTGGGGTCATATCGATCCGAAAGACATATTTATAAAAAAAAAAAAAAAACATTATAGTCACCTCACGGCAAAACCTCATGCCACAGAGGTTTTTTGTTTTTTTTAACTATTTGCTTGCTGGCTGCTAGAACTGCTTGCAAATTGTTCTGGTTTTTAAAATCCAGGTCAGGATTTGAAGCATCTGATCTTAGATTTTAACAGTGTGGGTGCGGAATTCAACTGCTCAGCAGCGTTAGAACTAAATGAAATCCCGACCATTTTCAGGGTCATTCAGAGCCTTGTCTGCAACATCTGGGCATTGTTAAATATCATTAGCAATTTCCAGATTTTGCGTTTTGATTGCCCCCTTACAGCAGCAGATGCTTTTTACCCATTTTGGTACATTTGGAGTTTAGTAAATAACCCTGTTAGTCAGTTCCCACATTCAGTTCTCACCAGCAGCTCGAAACTTCCTTACTACAGTGGGAGAAACAGGCTAGATACATTTAACTATGAAATTATGCTAAGAATTCTCTAAACACCACTGGTAGTTGTTCAAGGAACCGCGGCTGATCTATTGGATGTCACTTGCTATAAAGCATAGTTCAACCACTCTTTCCTTCAGTTACATACACATAACTTACATACACATATACAATACTACTTCCTGACTCAATAGCTTATCGAACACCTCCTATTTTAAGTTGAGATAGCTAAAATACCTAAATCACATACCTTCTGTCTGTGAACATTATTTTTCTACTAAGATTATATATATTTACCTATATTTCTGTCTCAAGAGAAACTAGCTACGTTTCTTGATCTCAAACCTGTGATCTACAAAACCCCTGCCTCCCAATTTCAACTACCGGTAGGTCTTCATTGAAACAAAAACAAAATTCACAAATCAAAAATCCCCACCCATAGTGGTCATTAACACCACACAGACCATCACAGCCCTATACAGTCACGGGAAGAAGATAGTACACCCTCATTGAATTCTATGGTTTTGCTCCTTAGCAGGTCTTACAATTAGGTAAATAAAACCTCAGATGAACAACACGTGACATATTACACCTGTCATGATTTATTTAACAAAAAAAATCCATAATGGAGAAGCCATGTGTGAAAAACTAAGTAGACCCTACGATTCAATAGCTTGTAGTACCAGATTTAGGAGCAATAGTGGCTGCTCGCTGTTTAGGCGACATGCCGCCATTAGGGGAGATGCGGGTTGGATTTAACCTCCCTTTTATTAATATAGTGACTCCCATAGGTTTTAATGCGGGGAGAGGGGTTGGTATTAATATTTATTGCAAGGAGGAAGCTGGTAGCGCTGTAGGCACCGTCCTTGCTTTTTTCTTCTTCGCGCATGTGGAGTGCAATTTTCACCGTGCTGTGGGGGTTAATTGATTCCCCTGCAACACTGAGTCTATTAAACAAAAGAAACAAAACAAAAAGGTAATGCATTCAGCATTTGCCCTTTCGTTTCGTTTACGTTTTGTATGTAGGGCTTTTGTTTACGTTTTAGTAAACAAATACGAAAAACAAAGAATTTTCTGACAAAATCGTATTCGTACGAAAACGAATGCACATGTCTAGTTAACAAACACCTAAATGAACCAGCAGACTTCTAAAACATCAAGGGTATTTTATTAGCAGCACCTGTTTGCTACATAGCCTCTTAATTCCTGTGGAAGCAGTAAGGGTGTACTCATAGGCGTGCGCAGCCTATTGTATAAGGGTGTGCACCCTAAAGCACAAACACACACGCTGCGTGTGTATATATATATATATATATATATATATATATATATATATACACACACACACACACACACATATACTGCTGTGTGTGTGTGGGGGGGCACTGTGTGTGGGCACTGTGTGTGTGTATAAGGGCGCTGTGTATGTAAGGGTGCTGTGTGTAAGGGCGCTGTGTGTGTGTGAAGGCGCTGTGTGTGTAAGGGCGCTGTGTATGTAAGGGCGCTGTGTGTAAGGGCGCTGTGTGTGTGTATGAAGGCGCTGTGTGTGTGAGGGTGCTGTTAGTGTGTGTGTGAGGGTGCTGTGTGTGTAAGAGTCTGTGTGTATGTGCTGTTAGGGTGTGTGTGTAAGGGTGTGTAGTGTGTGTGTAAGTGTGTGTGTGAGGGGTGTGTGTGTGTAAGGGTGCTGTGTGTGTGTGAGGGTGCTGCTGTGTGTAGAGGGTGCTGTGTGTGTGTGTAAGGGTGCTGTGTGTGTGAGGGCTGTTAGTGTGTGTGTGTAAGGGTGCTGTGTGTGTGAGGGTGCTGTAAGTGTGTGTGTGTAAGGGTGCTGTGTGTGTGAGTGTGTAAGGGTGCTGTGTGTGTGAGGGTGCTGTTAGTGTGTGTGTGTAAGGGTGCTGTGTGTGTGAGGGTGCTGTTAGTGTGTGTGTGTAAGGGTGTGTGTGCTGTATGTGTGTAGATGCTGTGTGTGGGGGGTGCTGTATGTTTGGGTGATTGTGTGTATTGTGTGGGGGCCGTTTAGTAAATATCCCCCTCCCTTCCTACCTTATGCCTGGGAGGGGGGATCCTTGTTCCTGCTGCTTCCATCCCTGGTGGTCCAGTGGAGAGTGAACTCTAGCCTGCGGGGCTAGAGTTCACTCTCGCGAGATCTGAGCGTTGCAGTGGCAACGCTCAGAATCCCGCGAGAGGAACCCGGCGGAGCTTCTGGCAAGAGCTCCCCGGGTCCTGTGCTGCCTCCTTCCCTGCCGGTCAGTGGGGAGGGAGGCAGAGCTGGCGCTCGGATAGCGCTGGCTCTGCATGAGCCGACAGGGGAGATCCTGAGATCTCCCCTGCCGGTGTCAATATACATAGGCGTGCCGCGGGGATTAGGGTGTGCCCAGGCACACCCGGCACATCCCGTGCGCACGCCTATGTCTTCACAGTGTGTTGAGACAATAAGGATACACATCATCTTCCAGATTGATTTGTAACATTACCAGTTGACTGGCACTTCCTAATTATTAAATACTATTTTTTCACAAACTTTTTTGCTCATATTTACCAAGGGTGCCAATATTAGTGGAGGGTACTGTATATATTCATGTATTTATTTTTTAATGAATATATTTATCAAACAAAGCTAAGTAAATTAAGAATATGTATGAGTATAAAAAAAATGTGACCTTTTATTACTAATAATCAATGTAAACGACTGCTGAGCCTTTTTTTTTTTCCTTTTAGTTGTTGTTTATTGAGAACGCTTCAAAAACTATGCTGTAAAGACAAAATACAGCTACTGATAGATATCACCATGAGAATAAGTAATACTTATGTACAACATGACTATTCATAATTTCAACTTACATAGGACCGCCCTTGTATGGATTTAAAGGACCCATGTTTTCTAATTACTATTCACTATTCCTTTCACAAGTGACACTGAATTAGCACACTTTTTAGGGGATTTGCTACACTTTTCCACTGGTCTGGGTTGTGCTAAAAATGATATGAGCTGCAGAGCAATGACATTATGGCCTCAGTATGTGAATATGGGTGTTGTTAGTTTTTCACACATGGCTTCTCTATTTTGGCTTTTATTTTTGTTAACAATTTTTTTTTTGACATGGTATAATATGTTGTATGTTGTTCATCTGAGGTTGTATTAACCCAATTTTTAGACCTGCTAAGGAACAGAAGATTGTTATTATGTTCTGATTTGTAAAACCATAGAATTCATAGAGGGTGTACTTTCTTTTTCCCATAACTGCATCTGTATGTATATGTCCAAGTTTCAGCTATCTTTAGAAATATGCTTATAGGGGACATGTGTCGATGTCAGGATTACGCTATGATCCAGCACGTAGAATTGTGTCACATAGATGACTAATAGATAACGTATTACCGGGCCTTAGAATGGCCGGACTAACGTACCAAAGAATAGTCAGGATGCTAGCCGAGGTCAGGGGACACAGAAAGGGACCACAACGATAAAAGAGGTCAGGGATACCAGAATACAGGGAAGTCAAAATCAAAGCCAAAGTCAAAAACCAGAAGAAAACTTGAATCAGGAACACACTCTCGGACAACCACTAGGGAAACCACGACAGGGCAATGAGGAAAGGTAATTGTAGGCTTAAATACTTGCTTTACCTTTCTAATTGGCCGAGATCGCTCTTTGACCCCAAAAATTGCACGCACGTGCGTGACGTTTCATGCACGCCGACGTCATTAATCACGTGAACGGACGTGGGGGTACAATTAGCCGTGGATACGCAGCAGCCAGCGTCCACTAAGTGTCAGTCATGCAGACGCACGGCCGCTTACTGCAAGGTGAGGAAGAATATGTTACAGTCGGTCGGTCAATATGAGATAGTAAATTTTGTAAACAGCTTGGATTATGATCAAGGTCTTAGATTGCTATAAATAAGGATAGCTATGAGTAGCATCTGTGGAAAAATAAACCCACAGTAATGTAGATTTTAAATTCTTGCCTATTGCCTCATATGGCTGAGTCTGCTGTTGATGGTGGAATAATGGAGGCATTTTGGAAATTTAATTCCATGGTTTTGCTGTTGTCTCTTGGACTTGGATCATGGGCTATATTACCTATAACATCACACATGAAGATTTGTGGAATGCCTTCTCCCTAATTTGCTGTAGTGCCCATGCTGGGACTTTTCCTACCCGTGCGCTAGAAGCTATTGGCTGTTAATATAGAATAACTACGGCAACTATTTACCGACAAAATTGTAAATGGTGAAATGTGATGGTGAAATCAGTGAATGCTATCTGTATCTGTATCTGTAGACTTCTGTTCTCAGTACATACATACAGAGTAGGTGGAGTATCTTGGTTCGTTGTAAAATAGCATATAATGTACAATAAGAACTGTAAAAACAGAGAAAACAGAATCTAGTGCAATATTGTAGAACACAGGAATAACTTAAAGTATAATTCGTGGTTGGTACTCACAAACCAAGAGCCAAAAGGAACTGGCTCAATTCAGACGCCTGTGCTCTCAGTAAACCACAAGTGTTTAAGGTTGCTACATTCTCAAGTAATGTACACCCCCGATATATTTCCAATATATAATTTACACCTCTGATATTTATCTCCTATATATCTCCAATGGAGAGAGAATACTTGTTGATGTTAGCCAGGTTTTATCTGTATTTACTGTGTTTGGACAACATGCCCACATATAGTCATAATGTATATATTCTTCTCACAGTTTGGGAAATGGCATTCCCATAACTAGCAGCAGGGTCATTTTGAATACTGCTAAGCAGGGTAATGCTATGCTATAGGTTTGGCACCTGTATGGAAAATTGCAAAAAATATGATACAGTGTAAAAATAAAATGAAAATTTAAAATTCAGAAAATGTACCTCTAGCCGGTATAAAATCTTGTAAGACACGGATACAATTGAATAAATAAAAAACTAATTTAAAGTGACTCTAACCACCATAATTTGATTCTGCCACATGGCTTGTTGGGTCTATTTAACCTCATGTTCTCAACCACTGACCCCATAAGAGATATTTTTATTGTTAAACCCAATCCACTTTAAAGAAGTCAAAATCCATCCCCTGAAGTTGTTATTCAATGATAGACCTAGAATCAGTGGTGTATCCTGGTTTTGTGCTGCCTTAGGCAGGACAAAACTCAGATGCCCCCCTTTCTCCCCCCCCCGCACCACCCCCACCTAACCCTCCCCCCTGCCCCGCCTTCTAAATACACACATACACATTCACTGACAAATACGCATACACTAGCTAACAGAAACACACACTCGCTAACAGAAACTCACACACACACTAACAGACACACTCACACTCACACTCACTAACAGACAAACACACACTCACTAACAGACACACACAGACAAACACTCACTCACTAGCAGACACACACACAGTCACTAACAGACACACACACTCACTGGCAAACACACTCACACTAACAGACACACACACATTCAGACACACACACTAACAAACACACACAGTCAGACACACACACTAACAGACACACTCACTCACTAGCAGACACACACACTCACTAACAGACACACACACTCACAGGCAAACACACTCTCACTAACAGACACACACACACACAGTCAGACACACACACACACACATTAACAGACATACACACTAACAGACACACTCACACTCACTAACAGACACACACACACACCAACAGACACACACACACACAAACTAACAGACACACACACTAACAGACACACACACACTAACAGACATACACACACACTCACATTAACACATTTTTTTATTTATCTCCTCCCCCCCAGCATCCTTACAGTTGGGAATGCAGGGGGGGGGAGGGTTCTCTTTCTACCTGGGGGGTCCAGTGACTGCTGGGCGGGCGGCGCTAGCAGGCGGCTGATGAGGGAGCACTTCCCCTGAGCTCTCTGCTCAGCTCCCTCGCACGCCGCAGAGTGAGGCTGGGAGCCGGAATATGACATCATATTCCGGCTCCCAGCTTCACTCTGCAGCGCACGACGGAGCTGAACAGACCGCTCAGAGCTCCCTCGCCAGCCGCCTGCCAGCGCCACCCGCCAGCCCAGCATGTCAGTTAGCCGCAAGGCTAACAAGACATTTGCCCTGGGAGATGCCGCCCAAGGCAAATGCCTTGTTTGCCTCGTGACTAATACTTCCCTGCCTAGAATTTTGTACATTGTGTGTAAAGAGTATGTCCTCTTATTTCATTATACAAAAAGTGCAGAATTTAACTGAAATTGTTATTTTTATAAATGAAACTTTTTACACCATCTGGCTGTGAAGCAAATAATAAATCATGTTACTTCCTGGTAGTTTAGCTCAGTGGAGCTCAAGCCAAGATGCAGCAGAGTGCCTTCCTGGCAAAGATTTATTGGACAGCAACAGAAAGTCTGGGCGGGGTTAGAAGGGGAGGGCTTGCAAAGGCAGCAGACAAGATATCTGCAGCTTTTGCAAACTTTTAGATATACCCCGGTGAAAAAAACCCACATAATTTGGCAGTGCGGTGTTCCTTTAAGTCTACTTCTCTGTTACCTTTCTTTATAAAAAAGAAATATAAAATATAGCACATTCCTGTACCGATACACTGCTATAGCATCTGATAAGACAGAACGAAGGTGTGTGAAGTTTATCAGCCATGTGAGATGGGGAGGTGGTTGTGTCAGTGTGGGAAGATCATTTTTAACTTTAAATCCATAACTGAGAAGGGGATACAAGTAAAAAATAACAAACAAAAAAACAGAACACATTTATATATATTTGAAAAAAATTCCAGTTTGCAGTGAGGCAAAAATATTTTGTAAACGTAAAGAAGACTGCAGACTGAAGAAGAAACATGGAATAAGTGTAAATATAACGTGTACAGTTACATTTAGATGAATGCACAGGACCCAGTTTATTCAAAGGCTCACAACCACCTCTGGAACGTACAGCAATTCTTGGTAGTCTAGTTGGGGGTTAGTCTTTCTTTGCTACAATCCCATGTTTTATGACATCCTTGTCTCGCAATGGCTTACCTCGGAACAGTTCTGGACCTGGCGGGACTGTCCCAATTTTGGGTCTCTTTCCAACCCTTCTGGGGTGGGTCCCTGGTGTCCCACATGTGTGGACA